ACCTGCATAGTGAAAATACCACTTTTGCAAGGGGAACAGATAAGAAGTGAAAATGATACATTGAAACATGTGGAGACAAGCACAACAAAACACGTGCCAGTTCATCCCCAACAAAGCCTAAGATCACTTGTCACATGAAGCTCCTCATAGTCTAATTTCATTCAAGATCAAGCCTAGACAACCCTTGAAGAAATCACAAGTCCGATTCAAGATCAAGTGTCCACCAACCTTGAATCAAATTTAGCTCCAGATAAATGAAGTAAATTCAGACTTTTGGAGGGAATCAGAAGACTTTTCAGCCCAGTTCAAGAACAAGCCTGTGGAAAGTTAACAACAAGTAAAGCACCTCTTTCAGCAACTCTTCTCGCTAAGAGACTGAAGCAGAATGATCAACTATCAGCCTAAATGATTTGAAATCAGAGGGAGCATCCAAAAACAGATCAAAATTTTAACGGGTCAATCGAAGATTTGTGGCCATTCAAGGGGGAGTGTTGTAAAGGTGATTGGATGGCTGGCCACTAATCACTATGTTGCTCATGATTTGCTTCTATAAAAGCAAGTCTTATGGAACCAACACACCTAAGGATGACAGTAAGAAGTTCATGGAAGAGGAAGAGAGAAAAGAGAGGAAGAGGAGAGGGGATAATAGAGAGAGAGTTATTTTGTACTCTTATTATTCTAAATTATAATGGAAGCACCACTATTGCTCCGATGACGTACTCTAGTCACACTGACTGTAGAGGAACCTCGTAAATTTTGTATCTTGTTTCTTTTATTCCACTGCACACACCATCGATTTTACAACAATGTTTGATATGTTATTGTAACTACGACTGCCCAAGTTTAACGGCTAAGCTAATCGTATATATTCCAATGACACAAACACATGGGTTGGTTAGCAATCCAGAGACACGTGAACACGTACCAAACTCATGACTCGATCTCTTGTCTTTCGATCAAACTGCCAAAGCTGCCTACTTCGAGCACCAGCTCGCAGCTATCTTTAAACGTACTTGGTTTTAGTTTACTTCTAGCGGGTAGTTCCTTGTTACAAAAATAGCCACAACCGAAGATTGATTGGTTGGTAAGAAAATCTTAAAAAAATGGTGTTCGAATTTTTTACACGTCCAAGAAAAGTGAAATGGATGACTCAATCATGTGTAGTATTTGACGTTGACGTGCCTAGTTAATTTGTTACACATTGTGGCATGCGTGTTTGTGTGTGTGTGTGTGTATATATATAGTTTATAGTATAAGATTCTTTTGATTGATGCTTAAAAAAGGATAAAATTATAAGATCAATAAGAGTTGACAACAACCATACAAATAGTTGCGTAGTTGATGAGTTCGCGTGCCTGTAATCGTAAGCCTAACAAGAGGAGTGCACTGAATGGAGGATAGGGTTGTCAAATCAACCTCTACAAGTATACTTTTTGAAATGGAATTATTCCCACATTCAAAAGCAGAAATGTAAAGTCGCTAAGATTATAATCATACGTCTGTGTAATAACAGTTTGCCAACATAAATATTTGTATCGTTAAAGTGTTTGATGATAAAATGTTTCCTATTATCATATTTGTAATTTGTGTAAATATGATGAACGATGTAGGTAAACCTGGCATTCGTGTCGTGTTTTTTGTGTTCGTGTCGCTTTCGTGTCATACCCATGGCTTAACAGGTCGTGTCGTGTAATACCCGTTAAAGTAAACGGGTAATATGACCCGATCCGAAATCAACTCGTTAATATTATCAGGTAATATGACCCAACCCGTTACCCGTTAAGAAAATTATATTTTAAATCAATAAAAATGAAAAAGAAAAACCAAAAAAATGTAAAACATAATACTAAATTAGTATATACATACTAAATTTCGGAGTTGACCCCTTAATGAAAGTTGTAAAGTTTTTTATTACGAGTGATTATATTTTTCACACTTCTACAATAATTATTATTAATTTTTCACTCAAATAAATAACATTGTTCATGAGATTTGGAGGGTTTTAAAAATCTAAACGACCATGTAACCTTGCCAATGGAACTCAAAGCTTATATGTTATTCCTTTTACAAAATCCTCAATTTTCATAAATCATCATGACATAAGATTTTGTGGTATCCACTTCTGTAATTATTTTAAATTGACGATCAAATTAGTTCATTGTATTCATATAGGATCAAGGAGTGTAGCTATAAAAAATCATCAAAATCAGAGTTAAAATAACCGTTAAATCATGATTTTTTGTTTATAACCGTCAAAAAGTTTTGTCTCGTTACTTGATCTCTGAATGTTTGTTTTTTGCAATTTTTGGCGTATGCGATCTCGAAGCATATATAAACCAGTTTGACGGTTGGATTGTTGAAATTAGTTTTGTATGATGTATATCTCATCAAAACGATAGATTCACTAACACTTAAGAGTTTATTTATACTTTCATCAAGTATAAAATAAGATTTTATGGTATCCACTAGTGTAAATATTTTAAATTGAAGATCGAATTCATCCATTGTATTCATATAGGGTCAATGAGTGTAGTTGTAAAAAAATCATCAAAATCGGAGTTAAAATAACCGTTAAATTGTGATTTTTCGTTTATAACCGTCGAAAAGTTTTGTCTCATTACTTGATCTCTGAATGTTTGTTTTTTGCAATTTTTGGCGTATGCGATCTTAAAGCGTATATAAACAAATTTGACGGTTGAATCGTTGAAATTAGTTTCGTAGGATGCGTATCCCATCAAAACGATAGATTCACTAACACTTAAGAGTTTATTTATACTTTCATCAAGTATAACATAAGATTTTGTGGTATCCACTAGTGTAATATTTTAAATTGAAGATCGAATTCATTCATTGTATTCATATAAGGTCAAGGAGTGTAGCTGTAAAAAATCATCAAAATCAAAGTTAAAATAACCGTTAAATCGTGATCTTTCGTTTATAACCGTCGAAAAGTTTTTTCTCGTTACTTGATCTCTGAATGTTTGTTTTTTGCAATTTTTTGTGTATCCGATCTCGAAGCATATATAAACAAATTTAACGGTTGGATCATTAAAATTAGTTTCATAGGATGCGTATCCCATTAAAACGATACATTAACTAACACTTAAGAGTTTATTTATTTATATTAGGTGGGAAATGGATGGATATAGGCTACAAAATTTCCCAAACATTAGGCGGGAAATGGATGAAACTCTTGAAATATTAGGCGGGAAATTAATTATTATTACTTTTTTATGTTTTTGGTATTTTTAAATTACTTGATATTTTTATTTTTAATGTGTTTTATGATTTTTAATCTCAATCTTTGCCTATAATATACTATAAAAATAAATAAATAAATAAAACTTAAATTTTAAAATTTATATAGAATAATAATAGAATAATAATTAATAAACAATATATACATATTCATTATATCTATTGCATTTTATAGTAAGTTTTTTTTAGTAGTTTAAAAAATTAAAATCATCAAAATAGCATTTTTCTTATTGTGTCGAAACAGGTTACCCGCGTGTTACTCTCGTGTAAACCTGTTAAGGACCCGTTATTAACGGGTTATTATCGTGTGACCCGATTAGTTATCGTGTTGACTCGAAACCCGTTATTTTCGTGTCGTGTTAACGGGTCGTGTAATAAATTGTCAGGTCTAGATGTAGGCCCTATTATCATATTTGTAATCTGTGTATATATGATGAGCATTGTAGGCCCAAGTATAGTCTACCACAAATATTGCAGGTATTGTTCAAATTTAGCCACCTATTACTAGGTGTTGAGTTTTATTATAAAAGACCTCAATGATATTAAAGGTGGAAACTCCCATATATTTTGTATATTACTTTTTCATAGAGCTGATGTGATACTCTTCAACAACATATATATCTATATAAATATATATATATATATATATTTTTATTCAACAATTGTCGTACATGATATTTGAATTTAAAACATTTTACAAGTATACAACTAAGGGTTGGCAGAGATCCGTTTAGTCCTTTTCAACAACATTATCAGTACTTGAATTGTAGCCCTAAAATGGTCAAATTAAATTGGTTCTCTGACAAAATCATGATTGTTAGAAAACCAAACTACGTCGAAACTAGCTAGCTAGCAGGTTAAATTTGCTTTCAATTTTATCTGATATGAGCCTGTTAGGCAGGTAGAGCAGCATCCAAGGCCAGAAGCATGGAAGATGAGGAGATGGAGAAAAGAGTGGCAAGGGCCATAGAGATGTGAACGGATGAGGAGATGAAGAAGGAAGAGAAATGATGAGGGAGCAGACCTGCGAGGAGATGACAAGAAAGGGAAGTGTTAGGGTTGGGAAACTATGAATTATACGAGGAACATACAAGCTACATTAACAATATTTATTTGTTCTGGTTAGCGAATCGTGCGAAATTCTAATTGAATCTGAACTAGACTTAGTAAATAGACACTTATTTTCGTGAAAAGACTAACCTAACTGGACAACTCAACCAGTAAAGCCAGTTCACCTGACTAATGAGAAATGGGGAATCAAACCTAGACCTTGCGTGGATAGGTAAATAAAAAGTGACTTGCAACCACTTAATTAGGTCATAAACTCCTTTAACCGAATAAAACGTTTGGATTTGACTTGACTGGCTATCCATCTGTTAGCTATCTTCCCAAGTCATCATAAAACCCAACCCAACAATGAATGTAGTTAATTGTATAGTTCTTTATTTATTTTTATTCTTTGTATTTAGCAATTGGAAGTATTCTTTGTATCTTCGAATATGAAGAGTCATTGTACGTCTTTATAATGTATTCTTCACACTCAAATCAATCAAAGGAAATCAATAGTTGGTAACTTGCAGTAACTCACTCTTACATGCCCTGATATTGTCGTCAATACAATTGCTCAATTTATGCAAGCTCCACGAGCTCCACACCTCATATACCATCCATGTAGATAAGATGAGCTACAAGCCTCTTGCTAATTAGGTTTGATGTACGTACATTTAATTGCTGATTTAGGTTCGCTGCCATTTATTACTTGTCCTTAATAAAAAAATAAAAAATAAAAAATGGATTAGTTGTTTGCAACATTTAGGCAATACAGGTCGAATTCAAAACTAAGAGTATAAGAAGCCTCTATATTTGTCCACGGGAGGGGTAACTATCCATATATAGTCCCGTCATGTGTGACTGGATTAATTATGCTTCAAGGCCAACCTAAACTTTTGTTTCCTTCCAAGTAAAGTACTATTGAATTCTCGGGAAACAATCTTTCTTTTCTTAGTCCAAACATAACCAAATAATTCCCAATAACTTTTAATTTGGGCTGAGATATTTGGCGCCTAAATACGAATATATTAACCGAAATAACGTCTCTAACGGTCATTTGGAACTAGACCACCCCGTCATGTCGTCTTCGTTCCAACTATAAACGTCCATAGCAGAGGTCCCATTCCTAGCAGTCTTAATCTCTCTCCTAGGGTTTAAAAATGGGTCGGTTTTGAAGCACAAGAAGACATGTGAAGGAAATAGCATAAAGTACAAGTGATGGATCAGCAAGGAAAATGCAACAAAGCACAAGATATACTTGGTACTTTTGATCAGTTCCCAGATTATAGTAATAAGTTGGCATTCAAAGTCGTCGTTTTTCAGCTTCATATGTTATTGTTATGTGGGATTTTGCAGATTTTTCAGTTTTGGATTCCAGCGAGGCTACAAATTTAATCAACAACACCAATAACTGGCTGGTGACACATAAACAACTAATTTTTCCTTTGTTTGTTATTGTTTGGTTAATTTTTAGTAGATTAATTTTATAGGAAATATTATCTTATCAAATTGTCTAGCAATTTAAGCTGCTTATGTTACAGTATCACATATAAGGATATCATTAAGAGTCATTTTGATTCTTGTCAGACAAACACTGTTCATTTTAGTCTGGCAAGTCTGAACAAGAGAATAGTAGTAGTCTTTGTTTTGTGTGTTAAACTATCGTTGTATTATGGTGTAGTTAAATATGAACGATGATGATCGATGGGAGGAATTACCGAGCAAAAAGAAGGGATTCGCCGGGGCTATATCAGAAGAAGAGCTGAAGATTCGAAGTGAGGTTGAAATGGAAATCGAAAAAAACATGGAGGAAGAAATCAAAGATGGGATTTGCCATCTTGCTCTGAGATTGCAGAGGCTCTATCAACACCAAAAGGAAAGACGAAGTGCTGCTACGAATGGAAGAAAGAGTAATAATAACAAGGCATTTTGTGAGGTTAATATTAACATAAAAATGGAAGGAGGAACCAAGATTGAAATTAAAGAGACCAAAAAACCAGCGCCTGAAAAGGTTTGCCCTAATTGGACTAGTTCAGGAATATCAGAGAAAAGTTATCAACCAGTTACAAAGATGGCTAGAAATACCAAGAAGTTTGATTGGGCCAAGTCGCTGCGTTCGAGTGCTGGGCCTGCACTCGTCACTAACAAAAATAGCGGCCCACGTGAACTGGGTTGGAAAGTTTGAGATTGCCTTGGTTTGTTTATATATTTAAATTATGACTGATATTACATCTTTAAGGCTTAAGCTACACCAACGGGAGGAAGAGCGTTCAAACCCTGGACGTAGTGGGAATGACAATAATACCACTGCTATTGTTGTTGCTCACAGGTAGCTTCACCAGTGTGATTTTATATGAGACATGAGTAAGTTGTGAATGTTTTGGGAGATATGAAAACATCAATTGTTGTAAGTGACTTTAATTGTGATTTTTTATATATTTTACCGAACCTCAAAAATAAATAATGAAGTTGTTTTTGTAAGGAAAAGGAACACTAGTGCGGTGTCTCATGGATGATACTATGCTCCTAATGTGTAAGGAGTCACTATGACGTGACATTATTTCACCATCTACATTATTAGTTTTTATTTTATTTTATTTTTTTATCATCATTTGAGAATTATTTATTTAATTTAAAAATTGTTTACTGATCCAGAGGTATTGAACAAATTGACAGTTATTGATTAATTAAAATTTTGAAATAGAAAACCATTAATTAATCATATGATATGAAAATAATAAAAACAAGGGAATTGTTATTAGCACTTCAAAAATCTCATTTGACACTCCAAACTTTCTATAATTAAAAAGAAAAATACACTTGTGAGGAGTGTAGAATGAGATTTTTTGAGTGCTAATAATAATTCCTTAAAAACAATTAAAAAAATTTAAGAATAAAAAAAAATTAAAAATTTTGAAAAGGGAAATTCTATTCACCTATCTCATACTAGTACTGCCACTCCATCAGATGAGCAATTGCAACAAAGCCTTAAATGTCTCATAAAATGGTGACTTTCGTTCACTTAATTTTCTTGTAGTGTGTGGGGCTGGCACCTCCTTAAGGCATCTACTACTACTAGAATCAACACCTCCAAAAGTTGAACAGACAGAGAATACTCTTCCGAGCTTGGATTGACGAGGTACAAGAATTAATTGGTCAGCCTCCAGGCCCCAAGAATCGTTTAATGGAGAACAATTTACATGACATGAATACACTGTCACGGAGCGTACTACGCCAATGGAACAAAGATATGTAAAAACTTACAGGTATCTTTATTTTTTTTTACAAGAGATGTTACTGTAATGGTATCCCCATATCATGTAAGTCACTTTTCATTGAATAGTCCTAATCGTTGAACTGTCAAAAAGGTGTCTCTAAAATAAGGTGCCAAAGCCAACTTCTTTCAAGCTTTTCTGTTCCAATCCTCATCCAGTTTTTGCTTTCCAAAAGTTGGATCATCCAAAAGAATCTCAGGAGGCCCTCCAATGTCTTTAAGTGTGCACCTGCTTCACTCCTCTGCGACTTTATTTTTACTACAGTACTCTTTAAACGTTATAGCTGCATGTGTTAAAATAAAGTTGCAAAGCAATACGTTCGGTTTCAAGCCACCGAAAAAATGCAATGAGACCTTGAGATTTGATGAAACCACTCTGAATAGTTTCAAACTTTACAAACTGGGAAATTTTTTAAATGTCCTGTAAACTTAATTTGTCACATGAATACAGATTTTAAGCGAACTGTCATACAAACATTTTAAAATTATTAATTCGTTATTTGACTCTTACTATGTTAAGTTTTTCATTCAAAATAAGGCATGCGTAAACACATGACTTGTTTTTAGAGTTATTTTGGACATTTCAACTTTTTTTTTCATAAGTTCCTTACTTTTGAAACCATGAATTTTTACTAGTGTAGATATTAATTTCGTGTTTGTTTAAAAAAAACTTTTGGTGAACAACTAAGAATGTACATAGGACTCATTCACAAACACGGAGTTGTGGCTTATTGCAATATTTGAGAATTTAACGTGGTAAATAATGGCTATCTCTTTCATTTCATTGCTTTGCCACGAGTAATCACTTAGTAAAAGCAATGTCAAGTTTGATATTTATCATTGTTTTAGAGGACAGCTATACTTCAAGAACATGTGTACATATGAGGACTATAGTTGGAGAGAAACTTGTTCAAGATTTTTCCGTGTCATCATATTACGTTGAAATGTCAGGAATAACCCTGAACACAAGACATATGCATATGACTTATTTTAATAAATATTTAAGAAACTAGATATGACAATTTGCCTAAATTATAAATTCATATGACAAATTGAAAAATTGTGTGAAACTTCATGACATTTCAAAAAAGTTCCTAATACAAGAAACATAAGCTAGAAGTTGGAGAAACACCATGACAACCGTAAACTTATAGAAAAGCACTTGAAAAACAAATTAAATTCCAAAATTATTGTAATTTGGACCAAAAACCTTATACCCGAGATCTTAAATTTGAATCATTCTCTTCATATATTGCTTGTATTAATGGTAGTTGATATGTCATAGAATTTCTAACAATTCAAACTAGCCAGGCCGTTGTCAAAGAGTCAAAGATCGAAGTCAGGCTTGGCAAACAAGTTGTGTTTGCATGTTTCATGTCATGTTTGTGTAACACCTGTTATCTTAACGAGTTATGTCGTATCACACATGTTATCTTAACAGGTCTTTAATAGGTCGGGTCACTTTACCCAACACGTAAAATGACCCAACTCATTATGACCCATTAAGAAAAATAAATTTTTTTTCTTAAATTTGCACATACTACATTGCCACATAAATATTACTTCAAAACGTAAAAACACATTTGTCATTAAGTACTACATCTATTCTCTAAAATAAGAGTTTAATACGAAAGCATCAATACACTATTAGTCTACTACAAAATATCAAAGGTGCACGGATATGAAAAATAAATGAGTTTTTCTTTTCAAAGTTGTGAAGCCTTTCTTAGAAGTTAAAACCTTGCCAATGAAACTCAAAGCTTGCATGTCATTCCTTTTACAAAATCATTCAATTTCATCGATCATCATGGAGAAATTGTATTGGAACTTTCGCTTGATTTATTGCCTTCAAGAGTTATGTTGATGATGTTTTCAATAAGGTTTTCCACATTAGAACTTTCTTTCGCATAAACTAAGTGTAGAAAACCAAACATTATGAACCATTCAAATCAGGAGAAGTTTACCAAAATAATTATGAAAAGAAATAAAACAATAGTACTATACCATATAAAATATATTCCCTCATTTTTTTTTCTCCAAATTTTCTCAATTTAGTTTAATATATATATATATATATATATATAATATTACACATACATACATACACACACACACACACAGATATATATATATATATATATATATTACATATAGGGATAGGATCAAGGGATAAAATTTTTTACACTTCTTTTTAACCTTGAGATTTTATATCATCCAATGGTCCTAATTAAAAGTGATGTGGAGGATTTAAATCAATAAATAACTTGAATGATGACATAGAATATAAATAATCATAAATAAATAAAATCTGCAAAACGTAGGAGGGAGGGATGAAGACCTCCATTGATTTCGTGATTGCCTAGAACAACCGAATTTGGTCTTTCTTCATGACAATTTGACCAAAAGCAATAAAGGATGATAATTACAACTTAAGAACTATCTAAAATTGAAAATATCAAAGTTTTACCATAACCCCAATTCTCACCCAAAGATAGTAAGAATGATGACTTAATTTAGGGTTTAATTTTGTTTATTTAACAAAAGATTCAAGAGATCGAGTGATAGCTTGATATGCTTTGTGTGCTTTAGAATATTGTATAAATCGAACTAAACTAGCATTTAGTAAAGGCATTGGAAACTTGTTTATCATGACATTGGGATTAGGTTTTGATGAACAAGTTATATCCTCAGTAATTTTTGGACGGTGCTCTTGCAATTCAAGAGTTAAAACCATAAGCACTTCTATAATTAAATTCTACTCTTATTTTTTTCTTAAGAAAAATCTATTGGTTTCATTGTGCATATATATATATATATATATATAAACAATTATAATCTACGACATATAGGGTTTCAGAAATATGGAAATTGAAAGAAGAAGAGGAAGAAGAAGGATTGTTGAGGTTTTTCTCTTGGGAATTATTATTAGCACTCCAAAAATCTCATTCTACACTCCAAACTTCTATATTAGGAAAGAAAAATACACTTGTGAGGAGTTTAGAATGAGATTTTTGGAGTACTAATAACACTTCCCTTTCTCTTTACATGATTCTTTTTTTTTTTTTTTTGGTAAGAATAAAATTACTTAAATTAGTTTATTTATCTATTTCCATGATATTGCCATGTCAACGAGAACAATTTAAGTTTTAATTAGGGACTGCTAGATTAAACTAGATCTAAAGGTTGGGAAGAAGTGTAACAATATTTGTCAAAATCTTTGTCCCTTGATCCTATCCCATATATAATATATATTTATATATATAATTATTATAGTATTTTAGAGGTATAAAATTATTAAATTAATATTTTGCTTATTTTATATTGGGTTACCCACGTGTATATTCGGACCAACCCCGTTATCTTAACAGGTGTTTATCGGGTTAGCCGATAACGACCTGATTCGTTATTGTGTCGACCCGATAACCTGGTAATTTCATGTCGTGCCGTGTCCTATCGAGTTAACAAGTTGTATCAGAAATTGTCAGGCCTAAAGAATTTGATAATGAAGAAAAGGCTTTCTTCTATATTTCTATGTATCTGTACAACTTGTTTACAATACTTATGTAGGAATACATTTAGTCTAAAAGAAGTAAACTAGCAAACAAATAGCTAAACTTTAAGACCTAATTACAGAGATTACAGTTTGATTTATTCTCTAACATTTGATCCACAAATCAAGCTTTGATTGACGTTGACTTTGATTTCTAACATGCCTCCTCAAGTTAGAACGTGGATGTCCAAGGTTCTTAACTTGCGAATGAGAGTTTGAAATAATGGACTGCTGAGTGACTTAGTGGAAAACCAAGAAACAATCCATTGTGTCACCCCCAAGAAAGACGCAAAAGCCGGTAATTGATCGCCTGGTTGTTGGGCAACTTGCCCAATCTGCATCACAGTTCCTTTCAATTGTAGCTTACCATGTGCTAGGAATAAAACACTTTGGCCTGGTGCTTTCTTCAAATAACGAAAGACATGATACGCTGCCTCAAGGTGGGGTTTCTTTGGTTGTTACATAAATTGGCTTAGAACATGAACTGAGAAGGTGATGTTCGGCCTTGTGATTGTGAGGTATATAAGGTGACCAACAAGCGTCTGTATTGTGATGGGTCTTTAAGTAGTTCACCATCTAAAGGTGTAAGCCTCAAATGTTGTTCCATTTGGAAATTAGTTGGTTTGGCCCCAATCATACCTACATCCTCAACTATATCCAAAGTATATTTAAGTTGGGAAATAACAATACCTTGTTTCGAATGGGCAACCTCAACCTTAAGAAAATACTTGAGATGCCCTAAGTCTTTGATCCGAAAGTTGTTGTGTAAAAAGCTTTTAAACTCATCAATGGCAATGTTGTCATTTCCTGTTATAATCATATCGTCAACATAAAGTAACACTGCTGTAAATGAATTACCTCGTATCT